GGGGTCCAAGCTTAATCTCCAGTCAAGCCATATGGAATGAGGCGAGAGAAAACTAGGTCTTCTAAGTTTACTGCGAGTTCTCTGTTGCCCTTACCCCTCAAATCTTCATTATTATGTCTACTCATTACATCATCACTTATGGTCATCAGTGTGAGTAGTTAAAGGGCCCAATTCCTAAGGGAACATCGTTTTGTGTTCTAAAGACATCTGAATCATGTTTTGGGGCATTATTGAGTTGATAAATTATGATCTGAAATATATGATGTAGAAAATACTATAAAATGGCGGCGATGTACGTTACGTGTGATGGAAGCTCTGTAGTAAAAGACTTGATCAAATCGTCTTATCAAGTGAAATTTTTGTGATATTTCAGTTCCTAATAACATAGACGGCTCTGATAATTGTCAGTTAATGCCTACATTTATTACCTACCGTTAAACTTAAAAGTTCCACTTTCCTAACTTCACCGCGCGCCATTCGTTTGAACATTGCGAAATTCTCTTATAGTGGTACATGGTAAAATAGTGTATTTACTTGGTGATGACTGCTCTGCGTAATTAGCTTTACTTTCTATTTGTATTTGTTCTAGTTTTAATATAAATGTAAATTAGTTTGTGCCCAGTGTGAATTTTCGTCCAACGGATCTAACTTAACCTATAAAGAAGCTACCTACGTTAGCTACTGTTGGATGTAAGTCATCAATACTTTATTATATTCTGGTCCTGTTCTAAAAATATTCGAGATTTTTTCATTACTTCACTTAATTACTTTTGAGAAGCACCATTACTTGTGAATAACATCTAATAGATGCATAACCTCACTTGCAGCATGGACATGCGATCATACGAGTTTATTTTCACATTCAACAAACATCTTGAAGCCCATCAATACATTGCATCCCTAGAGAATGAGAACAAGAGACTTAAGAGATCTTGCATGGACACAAGAACCACTTGATTCCAGTCTGTGACAAAAGCAAAATGTCCAGTTGGCATCCATACACACAACTTCCTCCTCCCAAAACAGTTTTTTACCTCTAGCCATTACACATACTCAAAAACCCTCACAACCCAAACAATGCCTTCCAAAACATGTTGTTCACAAAACTCAACAGAAATGTACCAATGTGAGCAACACACAGGAAAATAAAACACTCTCAGGCTAACCAAAGGTAATCATACAAGCCACAGCAGGCACATGTCCTCCCTACTGAGAGAGAAACTCCCTGCTCATGAGGTCCTAGGGTTTTTTAAACCCAATGCCAAATTGGCAGATGTGACAAGTGAGATTGACAGTCATGTGTCTGGTTTCACAACTAGGGACACAGTAGTTGTCATTGGTGGAGTCAATGACATTGATCAAGGAACGTCAATTAATGTACATGAAAACTTTAAAAAATGCAAGAAAACAAATGTAATATTGACAACCCTGCCACTCAGACATGACATCATGAAACACAACACTCAAATCCACCAAACAAGGAAATCATTATCCTTGCTAGAAACACACAAAGTGAAATTGCAGGCCTTGGATAGAACAGCCTGTACTTGCCACAATCTGCATCTTTCCATAAAAGGAAACAACAAATTTTCTGCACTTCTCACATTTCTCGTCTCTCCTTCTACCACGATATAAACATACAAATCTACCATCTCCATCACTCTCACCCCCACCTAAACCATGTTCCCCCTTTTAGTCACATTTCCTGCCAGTCTTCCCAATCCTTTACTTCCATTGGGGCTTCCACACCATCATCACAACAATCACACATTACTTCTTACAACTTCAGTCAAACACTCAAGAAATAGACATCCCTTGACTTTCAGCAATCAGGACAACACACCTGTGATAGAAATTTGAAAAAAGATAGTAACCTTACTGTATTCCACCAAAACATTTAACACAACAAAACAAAATTGAACACCTTGAGGCAATACTAGAAGAAACTTTTATATATGTAGGAGTCATTACTCGACATGGTCTTGAGTATAATGAAATTAATACGATGAACTTATCCAACTATAATCTTCATGCATGCTTCTGTAGAAAATTAAATACCAGTGGCGGTGTTGCAATAATAGTGCAGAATAATTTAATTTGTAAATCATTACACTGGATTAGAGATACAAGTATTGAAATGACTTTTGAAGTACCAGATGTAGATGTAAACTCACTGAAAGGGAACAAAAAAACAAAGGCATTTATAGATCTCCAAATTCTAGTGTTAAAGACCTCCTACTCAGGATTGAAGAACTCCTAACTAAACTCTTAGGAAACCACAATTGTAAGTTAATTATTTTGGGAGATCTGAACGGTAATACTGAACATAATGAACTACACGAAAGAGCTTAAATCTTCATGATGTTAAGTGCAGCCAACACATGTCACAATCCATTCTAGCTCCACCATAGACCACATCATTACAACCATTGAAATGAATAAATACTCTTTTCATTGTATTGATTTTCATCTCTCTAATCACACTGCACAAATCATTGAAATAATCAATTGCCCTGCAATTGATCTACCTAAATACCCCCTACATTCACCCTTGCCACAAGTATAACTAAACTACATTTGCTGAATGTATGTCTCCTAAAAGGGGAATGGACTAAAGTACTATATAGTAATGATATCAACGAGAAATGGAACTTGTTCTTGAGAGCATTAAATAATCATTTTAACATTCCATGTTCCATTTTTAAGAGGCAAATTAATGTAGTCAAACCCATAATGAAGCTTCCTCATAAAATTCCTGTTCTTAGAAGTAAAATGAAAAACATGTGCCACCTGTTTAGACATATTAAGAACCTCTTTTATGAGAAGTATAAACAATATAGGCTAAAACTTATGAATGAGAAAGCTTGACAATTAAATCATAAAGTTAACAACTCAACAAGTCTAAATACTGTGGAATATAACCAACAATAGGAAAACTCATGCTCACAAAAACATAAACCTACTGCACAAGGGCATGTTCCTTGTGTCCCCCCAATCTTAATATTTGTAGGACCTTTAATCGTCATTTCTTAAATTCAAAGTACGACACTGTAATCAGTAATACTAGTAATTCTTTATTCTCTGGAACTTCATAATCTACGTTTCTACATCACACAAATGGTACTAAATTGCTAAGGAATTCATTGATAAATTCCTTCAAAAATAGCTGGTCATCGAGGAATGATGAAATATCTTCTATAAATATGTAAGCCTGCTCTTCTCAATATATTGGTTTACTTACTAAATTCATCTCTATCAGTTTTCGCTTTCCAAGAATCCCTAAAAGTTTGAATTGTATGACTACTTGCGAAGAATAATAATACAACCCTAACTTCAGTAATTGATAAACTCTATGAAAAAGGTATATTAGCAAGACAATAGTTTTCTTGAATCTAATAATATCCTTAACAAATCTCTACATGGCTTCAGGAAGGGCTTCTCCGCCACCACTGCTGTTGTAAAGTTCATACATGAAATCATTGGATATTTGGAATCAAATAAGAAAACAGCAGGTACATTAACTGATATTTCAAAGGCATTTGACAGTGTATCTCATGAAAAACTGTTGACAAAACTAAATTAACATGGAATAAGGGGTGGAGTTAATGATCTGATTAGATCATACCTCACAGGACGGATGCAATGTACAGATTGCCAAATCTTCTGGCAATCTGAAACTTTCTTATCCAAAATTAAATTTAAATTAAAATTTTGGTACAATTGCCACAGGCGTTCTGCAAGGATCTGTGCTTGCTATTTAATGATATTCCAAGCTTATCTGATTTCTCTGTAATTTCTTATGCAGATGATAGAACAAAAATAAGCAGTGGGCAAAATCTCTGTCATCTAGAAACACGTCTGAATCATTAAAAACAATTTGTCTATAAATGTATTAAAATTAAACGTTGAAAAAACTGTATTAATCAATTTCAAGTTTCATCACGTTTATTACACCAAAACGTTGGAAGTGGAAGTAGACAATGAAACAGTGAATCAAACCAATTGCCATAAGTTTTGGGGAATATTCATAGATCGAAACCTAACTGATAACAAACAAGTTGCCACACTTTGTAATAATAATAATAAACTCCAATATATTCCTCTCTAGATACTTTTCCAGATACAGATGCAATTATTTCAGTCTATTATGGGATAATCTTTTCCCAACATCAATATGGTATTGAAATATGGGGAGGTATGACAAAAAAATAGATAAATTAATGGTCCCACAAAATAAATGTATCCGAAGCATTTTCAAAGTGAATCCGAGACAGTCCTGTAAAGATTACTTTATTAAATCTGAATTTCTGACTGTTGTAGCACTTTACTCTTACAAATTGTTATTACTTTTCAGAAATAATCAGAATCAATATCTAGTGAGTAATAAAAGGGGTACATAACTACCATACTAGAGGGGATAGGGACTAGCACAGCATATACACTAGAAAATCTTCAACTCTCCGAGCTGTGCGACGTGGGGGAGCAGCAAGTGCGTGGCAGGGGATCGCCGCTCACGGATGCGCATGTCCCGTAATCTCCGAGTGGTGCGCAATAGCAGAACGGTTGGTGTTGGTGTTGTTCTTGTTGTAGTGGTCGATGTGTTCTTTGAGTCGCTCGGACACAGACCGCCCGGTCTCGCGAATATACGACCTGCCGCAGCTGCAGGGAACTTCATAAACTCCTGTCGACTGGAGAGGAAGTAACGCATCTTTAATGCGTACCAAGGCGTTGTGCAGCTTGTCGGCGCCGTGAACACCGTACGGATGTTGTTCTTCCGTAGTAATTTACCTACACGGTCGGTGACACATCGGACGTAGGGAATCACGGCTAATCTGGAGCGGGCCCTCTCCTCTATTTCAGAAGAAGCGTGACGGTCTTCGGCGTTGCCGCGGCCTTCGGCGCCACCGCGCCCGTCGGGACGGCTGCAACCTCCGGAGTGGCCCGTAACGCTGACAAGCACACGCATGATCGCAGTTTGGGGATAACACGGCGCGGCGTCTCCCGGATAGCCGAGAATTTATGGATTCGAGCCGCGGAAGCTTACGTATGTCATTTTTCTTTGTTTTGGAGGCATTTTAAGAACAATTTATAGATCATTTTTAGCAACGTTTTAGGTCATTGAAATCCGCCCCCTAATTATTACCTTCCACATCGCCATCTCAAGATGAAAGTCACAACTCCTATTGCAAAATTTAGATTCCCAACCTTCGTTCGTTGTTCTCAACGTCATGGGCAACAACTCTTCCAACTGTGATATCTAATTTTGTTTAAATTATTTTTGTTTTAAGTTCATAGCATTTGATGAGTCTAGTAGCAGGATTCACATTTAATTCATGGTTAATGTTTTCTCTATTTATATTAATGATGGCACTAGCTCATTTCCAAACTTGAAAACATTCACAAATAAATATAAACAAACAGAAAATTAGAGTAACACCTATTAACATCTTACAAAACATATACATGCTACAAAAAAATTCCCAAAATAAATACGTGATGGAAATCAATCAAATTCATAACCAAAATGATTGGCAAAAAGGATGTTACCGGCAAAATAATCATATCTTTATACACACTGCAAATTTTATCTCTATTTGTACTTGTAAAATTATGTACATTATAAATTAAATCTTCCCAAAACTTGGAAGTCATTTGCATTTGTACAATTACTGTATTATTCATTCCTGTATTTTACATATTGAAAAAAATATATTATTTTTTTGCAATTTACACATTAAATATACAAAAAAGAAAATTTACAACTATACAAAAAATTTACAACTATACAATTTTTAACAACACAATAACACTAACAATTGGCAAAACAACAAAAACAAAACAAATGGCAACAATTCTCTGATAATTCTAGATTCTCATTGGCCAACTAAGAGTTCTTTATATTTAGGGATCAATTTTATAGCACTGAATTTATTTAAATCAATATTCATTTTACACCTCATTTCCACAGCCTTATGAGGCTTATGACAAAACATTTTTAACTTTTTGAGCAATTCTCCTTCATTTTTATAAAGACACTCCTCTGGAAATATCTCTGGGTACACAAGTGAATTGGGACACAACGGAAAGCACCCACAGCTTACTGCTTCCAACCTAAACAAAGAAGATTTCATTAAGTTAAAAATACAACTTGTTTGTACAAATGATAAATGAGCAAGTATGATTCCCAGAGACAGGAAGTACCTGTCCCAGAAAAAGAATGAGGTTATACTTGATAAATAGGTCTCCCTTTCTTTAATACGGAGTGTCTCATGCCCAAATACCCAACAGTCACCACGCAGGATACTCGGATTCTCATATGTTGCCAGCTGGTGCAACACAATTCAAAACCTACCTATTCAAATTTTGAAACGCGTAGGAGTATTAGAAACGGTGCTTCAGGGCGTTTTGCACCGAGAACGTGCATGCCCTCCGCATCTCCCGCAGCGAGCGCGCCTCTGGCGATGGCAAAGGCCACATCCTTTGCTCTCTTTTTAGTTTGAAGTGCAGAGTGACACGCGTTCTTAATAATTTTACCGAAGTCAGTTGTAGGGTCTAATGGTATTTTTAAGGAAACTTAAAAGAAACCTGCATCCGGGGCGCTATCACATTTATGTTACACTCTGTTTTGACATTTTTTTTATCGGACCCCATTACTGTGACAAATTTGTTTCTAATCGAAAAGTAAAATGTATTTATTAAATACCGAGGAAATCCATATCTTTGTGATAATGTGCTCGACCGTCATGTCTGCTTGAACTTGCCTCTCGTTGCACGCCCTCCGAGGCAACTGACACGCGGCCGGCGGCGGCGGCACTGCCCACGCCATCGACACGCAGGGTAGACATGAAAAGGGCTTAACGTTAATTGTCGAAAAAGTAAGACTTGCGATGCTTCATAGCACTTTAAAATTAGTAGGTTTTCAAAGGTGCTGACCAAGCTGGTTAAATTTCATGCCAATCCAAGTATCCAGCACGGTGAGTGTTGCGCGTTAGAACAAAGGATACAAATTTCTAGGACACGCTGAGAAATCAAAAACGATCACATGAACGAGACACGTGACGATTGCAGGACGCCTCCGCCAATAGCATTGCACGAGTAGGAGGGAGAAGAGACAGGCAATGATGGAGGTACATAACTGTATTGGTAGGTAGCATAGAAACTTCATTCGAAAATCACTTTGGAAAAACATGAGAATAGAAAAGCATTTTACTTCTAAAAACATTGACTCGAAAACCCGAACAGTCGCTGGGGGACACGCGACTAAAAAGTATAAAGGAGTACTTTTGCGGCCCTTCCCTCTGACACGTGTTGCCACGCCGCTCATCTGAATTACACTACCAATGTACAATTTGGGAAAACGGGCGTGAGTGGCGCTGTGTAGTCGTTCTTGGTGCGCGTGTCCCTGTTGGGAGCGGTGTTGGCCAAGTGCAGTACCGGGGAGCGGACAGCCCCATTCGCTTTCTAACGATTCAAATTCTTAAGACCTTCATGCTTCCCACCAAATACAAATACAAGAATCGACTGACGGGTGTTCTGCGGACAGCTCGAAACAACAGTATGTATGGTATGTATGTATGTATGTATGTATGTATGTATATGTGTGTGTGTGTGTATATATATATATATATATATATATATATATATATATATATATATATATATATATATATATATTGAAACAAAGAACGTTTCTTTAATTAGAACAATTAAAATGATCACTAATTATAAATTAAAATAAAGTACTGGAGTGTATCAGCGAAGTTACCGCCGCCACCAAGCGTCAAATCAGGGGGGAAACGGCGAGGCGAGCGACGGTTAGTGGTGCGCGGAGAGGCCTCGAGTGAAGCACGGACGGGGCAGTGTTGTGTCCAAGAAGTTTATTGCCGTGTTGAGTGCAGTTCGGACTAAGTGTGGCCGCTGAATGTGGAACCAGGTTTGATAAGGATTACAGTCAGATGATTATAATTATATATATATATAATATATATAATATATATTATAATATTATAGAGAAGAGAGAGAGAGAGAGAGAGAAGAGAGAGAGAGAGAGACCAGTTTACATACATACATACACACACACGAGGGTTGCCTTTTATATTCAGGGATTAGAGAACAAAAACAAATATTAATCATCGAAAATCACTTTGGTTTCCAAAATATTCCCCATGAAGATTCTATACACTTTTGTATACGTTTAACCAATTGTCGAAGACCATTTTTGCCACTCTGATGAAGTATCTCCAAAAACATGCATTCTGAATGCAGCAACCGCTTCTTCAGGTGTCGAAAAACGTTGACCTCTCAGTTTGTTTCTTACGTACGGAATGAAAAGTCATTCGGAGCCAAAGTCAGGACTATACGCGCGGCATGACTCATCAAATCGATGTTTTGGGTGCTCAAAAATGCATTTGTTTGAGCCCGATGTGTGAGAGCTCGCATTGTCGTGGTGAAGAGTGACCGTCTTCAGCGGTTGGGTTTCCTGATTACTTGGAAGACAGCTAGAAGCAAAATCGGTGTAACACTCAGAATGACTGTTCTGCGTTGTTTCTAGTGGTACGTGGGCGACATGTCTAGTTCCGAAAAAAACAGGCGATCATCTGTTTGGAAGTGCTTCTGTGCGCGAACTTTTGTGGATTTTGCTCATCTTGAAACACCCTACAGTCGACTGCTGTTTACTTTCGGGCTCATACGCGTAAATCCACGATTTCATCACTTGTCACGATGGCATAGACGTTTCGAAGCAGCGCGATCGTATTTCTTGAGCATTTCTTCGACCAATCGACACGAGCCTTTTTTTGAGCGATTGACAAATTGTGTGGGATCCAACGCGAACAATTTTTTGACAGTCAAATGTTCATGCAATATTGAATGTATGCTGGTCCCACTAATGCCTAAGGTTGTCTCCAACCCACGATAGGTCACAAGACGATCTTGCAATATCAGATCATGCACAGCTCAATGGTTTTCGGAACAACAACTAAATTTGGACGACCTTCCGAAATTCGTCTTGGAGTGAACTACGACCACGATTGAATTCACCATACCATCGATAAACACTAGTCCTTGATGGAGCTTCATCGCCAAAAATTGAATTAAGTTCATCCATGCACTGTTGGTGAGTTAATCCACGTCGAAAGTTGCAAAAAATAATCGCACGAAAATGTTCACGATATAATTACATTTTGGGGCCAATATGAATCTTTTAAGTTACTGTAAACAACACAAATGGCGCTCGTATGCCAAAACGTTCTGAGTACGTATAACCTCAAAACATCCAACTTTACGATAGAGCTGTCAATTGCCAGATTGCAACACCAGGGTTGCCAAATCCCGACACACAAAAGGTAACCCTCGTATGTGTATATATGTTCCTCTACGTTTGCTCTCGGAGAGCTGCGATCTGTTTAAATGAAGTCACAGTGGACTGAATGAGAAACACACGTCTACAGCAGATTCTGATTCATTAGTAATCATTAGGGGGCGGATTTGATGACCTAAAACATTGCAAAAATGATCAATAACATGCTCTTAAAATGCTTTAAAAATGCCCTATAAACAAGAAAAGGACGTAAATACTACGATCAAAACACCAGATGAACAAGTCAACCTGTTGGGTGATGTTTTTGATGTAACGAGGCTGCTTCTTTTTGTTCAAGTGAACTTAGCTTGCAAACTTTGGGTTTAGACTGTTCTTTACAATAAAATGTATTTATTTATCGTGAAATCGGCCGAACTGACAAGGGCCCAGGATCCTTCAAACCCCATAAACATCACAGGACCCTTTGATTACATTGTACTCGCAATGGCTGACATTACAATGTATGAGCGAAGAAATCGAATTGGCTACTAGGAATTCTGTTGTGAACATTTGTTGCACCTCGTACATATTGTTTGAAGCAAGTACCGTGTGCCATTAAAATAATATTAAAATCGATTAAATCAGCAAAAAATGCATTATAAATTATGGGAAAAGGTAAAAAATTGCTTGTTAGTCAAAATTGGCGAAAAATGCAAAAATTGGTCTTTTCGTTTCGCCATAACATGAAATGAATACTAAGCGGCATTGTTCTAAAGTTAAAAAAGGCATTACATTTAAAATCCGCCCCCTAGTCATATAGCTGGCGGTGAGCGAGATATAGGCCCACTCATCGCAGGGTACGGCAGAGTGGAAGCGGGCAAGACCATAACCCGGTGTATTAGATACGAGCAAAGGTCAAATATAAATATTTCCGTGCCTTTTGTTTAATTTTTCTTTCTGAACACATTGGTTTCTTTTGTAAACAAAACCAATTTGCACACATCTGGAGTGTTTATGTGTTTCTGCAACACAGATTTTGGCATAGAAAGTATTTTTTCAAACCAACCTTTGAGTGTTTCGGAATATCCAAGGAGTTTATTCGACAAAATATGCTTAAAATTGTCTTAAGAGCTTATTTTTGAAGTGTGCATTTCCATTACATGCCATTTCCCACTGTATGTTTATGACAACCCATGACCACCTTCGAGCAGTCCCCTGCGGAGAAGCGCAGTTCACGCGCTCGGCAGACACTCCCACGTGTGCTGCTGGACTGAAGCTGATCACTTTCTATCTTTCCCCATGCATTTCGGTCGACGCTGCTAGTTTTGGCCTTTGATTCTGAACGCTACCACTTTGAACAGCGGCAGACCAATTTAGCATTGTGGTTTCGACGTCCAGGCTATTTGTAATGGACTACAAATATAATTCAATTTGAACTTTTATTCGAGTAGTTATTTCACCCTCCATATATCCTATACGTCCGTAAAATGTATTTTGAGACACCTGCAAATATCTTGTACGTAGTTTTTCTAGTTAAAACCAGCTTTCCTCTATAATTCTTACTTTCAGGCGCATCTGAAGCCAATCACTAGGCACAAACATATGACGCTCTTCGCGACACAACACACAAAAGACAAGGGGCAAAAGTCCACGTGAAGGGTCAGATTTGAACCCGGAACTTCTTCAATCGAATATCTATCTCAATGAAATAATCACTTAATTACTCGTATGTTCATTGTTACCATTCAGAATTTATTTAAATTCAGTCAGCCTTCCAACAGTTCGTTGCGTGTATTTTTCACACGTACATTCCTGGCTGACATCACGATCAGGTTTTTCGTTCAGTTCCATCCGCGCATTTTGCCGAGCTCTCCTTCTGTTACTTGTGTAGTAGTGTAGCCGGGGATGCGGCCATACTAAAAAAAATAATCTTTACCTCACGTACCGACGCAAATAAGATTGAGATTCTTGGGAGCGAAAATCTCTAGTTTTCACGCGTTGCTCAACCTCGCTTTGTTGATACACAAATGATGCATCACTGAACTGTACGTAGGGGAAGGATAGAGAAACGATTCCGGAGCTGGACAAACGAGTACAAATTATACCCCCCGCGGGAATAGTTTTTTTTTAAACCTGCAACCCTGCACTGAGGCATTGAGTTAGTAAATGCTCTTGCTACCTTCGTCATTAGCAAATGGATATTAATTTTTAATGATTGGCACCAGCTGAACTTCAAATCCACATTAATTTTACATCAACACAATCACTACTATCATCAATGCGAGAAAAATATCTGTGCCTAATGGAAAGATGCATCCACATTTATATAACGAGCCGCTTATGTTATGCACGGCAACACAAATGAGCCAGAATACGTATGTGTCGCATAAGTCAAAATATGCATTATATAGGAGCAAAATTTGAATTTGTATTGGTGAATGTGCAGTGGAACCTCGGATTTCGCGATTAATTAATTTAAAGTCTGGCAAGAGTCGAAGATTCAGAAAACAAAAAGCAATTATAACATTTCAAGGAAAAATTCCACGAAAAAGTAGTATTAAAAAAATTGTGCATGACCTTATTTAGAAATGTCATTGAAGAAAGTACCCTGGAGCTCAAGCCTCCGCTAAGCCACCACGCCGAGGGCCGGCGCTCAATATCCTAAGGGCCGAATTCATACTTGTCACTTATAGGATAAGCGAACCCTTAGAGATAAGTGCTTTCTCACAATAAGTGTTCCCTTATAGGCGGTCGTATTTCATACGCGTTCCTTACGACCGCGCAATGAATGTTCCGGAAGCGGAAGGGAAATGTGGCAGAATGGCATTGGCCGCAGCTGTTTCCAAGTTCTTGGCAACTGAGTATACACACGCACTTCATCTTGTACAAAGAGCGTCCAATTTGACAGGGGGCAGACACTCCAGCGTAGAGTTGACGTCGCGCGCACGACGAAATACTTCTACTACCTCTAATATGTCCTCATACAGACAAAACGATTTGTTTTGATATTAGTATATTTTACTAATGTTATTACTACCAATCACAAGCAAATTTGTAACAATATTATCTAAGATTCTCATATAATTACAATGACTATTTGATACCGTTATGTTAATATTTTAAAAATGTTTTCACTACAAATCCCTAATAATAAGAAATGTTTGGTAAAAAATGTAATCCATGAACCTCGTATCAAAATTTTAATGAATCTCTGCAATGTCTTGTACATTTTCTGCACATTATTTATGTGCATTATTGTATTGTAATATAATACTTAACATCAGTTTCAATTGATTCCTCAACGTTAACTTATGCTCTAGTATAACTTATGAACATAATGTGGTGGTATGGTAACATGGTATGAACGCAAGTCAGCCAATACTGGTAATGGATTTATTAGTATGGTAACATTTCATGTAATTGAAAATGTCAACCCCATATGGTATTAACATGAATTCCATTTTACAATTTAAATAACTTCACTTGTTATTCATATTGCAAATTCATAATTACTTATAATATGTCTTATAAATTAGTAATCAATAAAAGTTAAATATTTTGGAAACATTCCTGTAAGGGTGAAGTTGCGTAACATCTTAATACGACGAGAACTTGTAATAAGAGGAAATCGGCAATCCTCTTTTAGTCATTAGGACTTTGTCGATCATAGGCACAAATGTATCCACTACAGTAGTTTTATTGAAACGAAACCGCGTTCGGAATTGTTCATCTTTCTACATTTCCAATGGGTTGCTCATAACTCTAATATATCGCTTTGAATTTCGCAGGATGTGTTTAGTATAAAACTCAAAGTAATATATGAAGTCGTTTTCCATAATACGTTTCCCAAATGATAGGTTTTAACATAGTCGGTGAACGCCGCGTAAAAATATAACCTAAACTGGTTTACGACTGACGATGCGAGTGAGCTATTAGGGGCACTTAAGGGAGCAGGCTGCCTTGCTTATAGGAATGAGTTCATACTTAAGACTTCGCTCAAGGGCGGTTTATGAATATTAGTCCACTTAAGGGAACACTCAGTGTAAGAGACGACTATGAATTCGACCCTAATTGTCTCAACCCAATATTTTCAACACGCAGTTCTCCAAAATCAGAGATAAACAAAAATGAAACATCCAACATTCTTTTAAGCGTCCCTTGTTTTAACTGTGGAAACAATTTTTTTAAAATTGAAGTGGTTTTTGAGAAAATGATATAAAAAATGCATTAAATTCAACTAAAAATTACTTGAAAAAACTATTTTTTTCAAAACAAATGTAAATGGCCTTTTTTGAGAACAGATTGTTTAGAACAGAGCTTGAGGTAAAAAAATTATTTCTTCAAGTTTGTAGTTTTTAAATGTAAACTTTTTTCAATTTTTCGAAAATACGGAGAGAGCCGGAAACGAGACAGAAGCAAATTTTCTTTCTGTCCTTAGATATACGAGAAGAACATTTAAAGAAAAAATGGAGGGTTTTTGAGAATTTTTTTATACATACCATTAATTTCAAGCAAAAATTAAGTAAAATTAGCTGTTTTTTTAATGCACATGACCTTTTTTAAAGAGCTGATTTCTTAGAACAGATTTTCTTTAAAGCAAAAATCTAAAAACAACCCCTGTAAATATTTTGCATGACCTTATTTCAAGATTTGTCTTTAAAGAACAGGTTTCATTAAGGAGAACAATCTCTCTCTTTAATATAGTAGTTGTAAGAGGACGCTGGAAAAATAACCTTTTGTAATTTTTTAAAAATCAGGGATTTCAACAAAAAAGACCTGAACCATAATCTAAAAAGTACTTTACGCTATCCGAGGTTAAAATTTAACACACAAATTTGGAGCCATTTTTAGAAATTTTTGAAAATGTTAACGCTTTATGTAAAGTACAAAAATCAAAACATCAATTTCAAACACAGAGGGCACCGAGTTCATTTAAATCGATCTGGGAATGTCAACGTTGGAGGGGAATATCATGCTGAACGGTTAGTGTTGACCACGGACGGACGTTATGACGTCAATCGCTATTTCGGTATCACGGACTCACCCAACATGGATTCTGACAACACAAAGTGTTAGAGGAAGGATTTGCTGTATCTCGTAACACGGTTTACTACAGCATTTGTCGTTGCCAATACAATTTCGCTCGGCAATAACTTCCGGCGCACGTTTCCAATACTTCTTTGGGTATCTTTGTGGCAGACTGCTAAATGGCATGCACTACAATATCAATTGGCTACAGACATTCCAATTTCAAATAAAATGTGTTATTGAAGAACACAACGCTTCACAGACGGATGTCTGCTTCTTCCGGTCCAACTACTAACAATAAATCATATTAAAATTACATAAATCTTGTACAAGATATTAGAATAATACAAATTCAAACTCACCTTATCTTAACATCATGATATCAAATTTTGAAAATTTTTTATTTTTATCAGAATCATAGACAGTAGTAAATATATTACACTGCACATTCGAATTTGTTTTATTAATTTTTATAAAAATTATTTTGGAAATGAGCCTAGCTCCATTTCTATTTTTCCAGTCAAGACGTTTTGGATTTTAAAAATCGAAATTGAGAGATATTTTTCTCTGTTTTAAATTAGAATTTAGATTCCAAGTAGCCTCTTTAATGTTGTTGTGATGATGATGATGATGATGATGATATTAACATATTTTGATGTTTACATATTCTTTGTTTTAATTGTCTTTTGGTTTGACCAACATAGGTTACATCACAGTCCAAACTAGGTATACTGCATACCACATTATTTACCTCATAAGTGTGCAAGGAATACTTTATATTTTTCATTACATTTGTCTTCTTAGTAAGAGAGTTAAGAATAAGCACTTTTCACGCTCTCCCAGTCAGCACTTTTTTTTAATGTCATTAATTATTTTTGTAACATAAGATAGGTTCATGAAAACAACATTATTACGTAAGTCATGCGAATCTGAATCATATGGTACAGTGTTTTTATTATGTAAAATTAGCAACCTTTTCTTTATATATTTATTTATAAAACGAATAGGATAATTCTTCTCAGAAAAAAATTTAGAAATCGAAGTTGTTGTTACGAAGTTCAGGATGTGACAATTTTATAGCTGTCTGAAAATGACAACCATCTCTATACATGAAATTAAAGAAATACATGCCATGTTAAAAACTCACAAACTAAAAGACCAAGTTACGAACAATCATAAGAACACATTTCTGAACATTGTTGATTTTTTTAGTTATTACTAGTTCATACAACAATAGTACGAAAACTTGAGTTAAAACCTTGTTAGTCTAGTAGGCAGAGAAGACTTAACGAGTTTAAGATTGTCTTTACATCAACATTTTGTCAATTACACCAAAAAATGTATGCCTACGTAATTTTTGAAAAGTACCACAGCATAAATTCTATTAAATAATTCAACATGCAATTATTTTATGTACTGGATAATAATCTTACATGGATATTCCAAAGAATTCATGTTTTGCAGTTGAGATAGCAACGTGACATTCCTGTAATAAAGTAAAAAAATCTTCTTTGGATGGAAGATAACCCCAAGTTCTAATATAGCCAGATAATTCTTTTGCAGCTTCTTTGAAAATGCTTTCATTATCTCCTGCTTTTCCCACAACTGAGAGTACAAATGTGCATTCTAAACGTTTTAAAGCTGATGCAACTTGAAACAATTTTTCAGGATCTTTATCATGTTCCCTATAAAAGAAAAGAAAAGTTATTGTGCTGAACTAGAAATATTAATGGGTGAAGTCATTTCTGCAATTGAGAAAAATATAAAAATTAAATGACTTCTTTCATATTTGTGATATCTTTAAAAGTGACAAACATTTTTACATTGGATTTCATTACAGATTTACAAATCCAGCCTTCTATTTTTCTCAAATCTGTCAGATAATGTAGGTGTAAAATATGAATAACTATTTTAAAAAATATTTTTTCTGTCACATTTCTACTTGGTTCTATTGGTCTCTGGCAAAATAGATTTTAAAAATATATTATTTTATGAATGTTTAAATTGACATAGATCACACAGTTTGTTCATAGTTTGTTTGAATTTACATGACAAACTCAACGTAATGAATAACTCCTGACTTGTTTTTCTAACATTCCACGGTCCCATCAGGTACCCCTATGAACATCCAATTACTTCTAACCCATTAGAAAAATAAACCTTTATACTACAACGTCAAAATTCCGCAAACGAAATAAGTGACTTAGATCGTTCAAACTGACATTCAAAAACACACAAGGCGAGTTCACAGTTGCTGAACCAGAAATATGCCAAAGAGATGGAGATGTCAAAGTCCACTCTCACTTTTTCTTTAGGTCTTTTCACTTCAGGTTATAAGGTTTGAATGAGAGTGAAATTGCAAGCACTTCACAGATGTAGATTTACAAAGGAGTCACATTGGGGATTTGGCACGCAGAGCCAGACGGAGGATACTTGGAGCTGACCTGGATTGCTATAGTAATGTTACATTAATCACGATTACAATAAAATATATAAAAACTGCAAGACGGGTCTCTTTGAGGCGCCAATGGCCGGCCCAACAGGGCTTGGCCCGAAGTCATTCGATACGTCGGGCGCGCGACAGCAAGGGGAGCGAAGCCCTTGCGCACGAGACTCCTGACAATTGAAGCGATGGACGTCAAAACGAGCACGCGCTCTCATGCTTCTCTACACTTCAACGACTCATTTAGTTCTGCGCACGTACGACTTGCAACGAAAATGTTAGGGTGCGAACAAAGTCGAATTCGACCTAATGTTACTCCACATATTACGAGTAAGACGAGTTTACTGGTAGCTACGCTGATCATCGGTGGAAATAAGAAAAGGCAGGGTGGTTTTTCAAAAGACGGAGAAGAGAGGGAGATGTGAGAGCTCGATGGCAAACTAGAGAAGCCAGCAAGGGAGAGGGAGCCAGACGTCAGCGAGAAGGAACTTTGTGGAAATTTATTCGTCTGACACATGTTTATAAGTAACTTACCGCTAGACGAACTGAGGACTCATAAATAAGTCGCTCAAGAAAGTATCGTGGGCACTCAGTAATAATTACGACTTTGGAGTAAATTTTTTATTGCGCTGGCCATGCAAATGCATTAGTTTGCTTTTGCCGATAAATTTCAAGAATCGCGAGCGCTGATGAAATTTATAACGGCAATACAAAATCACGCATGATCTTGGCTGTCCGTAGACGCCGAGTCGAAGGCTGTGTTGCCGACGTTTCGACCATCATCTTGTGGTCTTCCTCAGAGCTGGTATGCTGAGGAAGACCACGACAAGATGGTGGAAACGTCGGCAACACAGCCTTCGACGGGGCGTCACCCGGACAGCCAAGATCATGCACATTACTCTGCCGCGGAAGCCTACGACTTCAATCCAAAATTACGTCCGTGGAAACTGAACTTTCCCGTAAGGGAGGCCGTGAGAAAACGCCAGAGCGCCGCTGATGCAACCACTTCTGTGAGGGCAGTGACTCCAAGGAGCCAGTTGACGGAGCGGAGGGGAGGAGAGACTTCTCGTAGCGGTGAGTTACGCTTTGAGCGGCGTCCAATTGCACGCACGCGCACCCCCCCCTCTCTCTCTCTCTCTCTCTCCCTCTCCCTCTCTCTCTCACACACACACACCTCTCGTATTCAATTAAAGTTTTCAATTGTAGGGTACAAGGTGTCGTTCTCCGTATGGCACAATTCATGTCATTGGGAGGACGGTATTCGGCCCAGTCGGCTGAAGGGGCACTGACCACGGGCCGTTTGGGTTCCATCACGCTCTTTTGATACTTGCGACCGGTATCTAGAAACAGGTTCTTTCGACCTCAGTTTCCCGGGTTGACGCATTTGGGTGTTTCTTGAAACATTTGGGGTTGTTTTTATTTGTTTCAGATGGTAGAGTTGATTTTGTGTTTGCGTCTACGCAGACGATATCTTCTAGGGATACCTGACAAGCAAAGTCGCGTACAGAGTTTGGCTTTACCTCTGCCTTTACCTAGTTGGGCACCTCGAGAACGATTTGGACATGCCAAGGTGTTGGCAAAATCCTTGGAGACAGACACCGGATTTGTTGTAAGGAATCGCACTTCAGGGAACGACACTGTCTCAGATACTTCAATTTTTGGAATTTCTTCTTTAAAATTTGGACATTTATTTGAGGTTGACGGGTGGTCTGCTGTGCAGTTTCCACATTTAGGGCCGGATTCGCATCCAGAGTTGTGGCACTTTTTGGCGCAGACCACACATTCAACGCTGCCCACGCAGCGTAGCTGGATATGACCCAATCTCTGGCACTTAAAAGCAGCGCAGAGGGTTCGGAACATATTACCACTCACGCAGATTATACCACCAGTGTGAGATCCTCTCAGGACGAGAGGGGCTGTCAAATGTGAGGAATTGAGATGGGGGGGGGGAGTACGCCGTTCACCTTCCGCTGAATCCTGTGCACGTCAGTCACTTCCTCAGGCGAGAAAAAGGGTTTTATGTCTCCATGTGTTTCGATAGGGAAATCACGGTTAACGAAACATATACATCGAAATATTTGATTGCAGTATGGAGCCTTATGGAGTGCCTCTCATTCTATCAAATTCAATTTTACAGAAGACTCTCTCTTTCATGGCAAGCTGTGCTGCCAACTCATAAGGCTCGGGGTTATTCGGCTCGCCCATCCTGTTTCACATGTAAATATTAAATACATTTACTCATCAATAGCTTCAATTGTGGAGACCGTTCTTCCCAGACCTCTTGTTAATGTGACGTTGATTTTGGAATTGCGTTTGATTGTTTAAATTTGTAGGAATTAATTATAAATGATAGCAAATTGTTTACTTCTACCCTTTGACGTCATTAAATTTTCACCAAGATAGAAACTTTTTTATTACTGAAGTAAAGCACAAACATCCAGACGATGTGGAAGGAAAGGTTGAGTATTAATTTTTGAAATCCGCTTATTAAAAACAGAAAAAATTATATAAACATATGAAAATGAATTAGAAATTTTAGTTCACATTAATACCAAGTCATTCAACGAGTGGCGAATGTTTAACTGGATGTTAAAAAGGAAAATTATTTCCCTTTATTTTACATAAAATATAAATATGCGAATAAAAAACGTGTAAAATGACAGGAGACGGAAAATTAGTAACATTGACCTTGATATCGATGTCATGCGTGCAAAACAATGCAAGTCTCATTACTGTTTGATAAATAATGTTCCACTGAAGTTGGGCTTTTTTTGCTATCGATATTTTAGTTTTAATTCCCATTTAAGTGTGTTTTTTTACAAATGATAATTCGATACAAATTTTTTTTATAAAAATATATTTAATTTCTAATACTAAACCATCTATTTAAAATGCTTTCAAGTGATTATCGTACAAGTGATATGCTGATTTTCTCCTGACTTGCAGATACGTAAGATCTGGAGGAAGGTTTAGACCCCCGCCGACTTCCCGTCTTCCTTTTTTATGCAAAAGAAGGAACAATACATTTGCCCTCCGCGACCTTCACACGTCGTCCGAGGGAAGCAAGGGGAGTTCCTTGTGCTGGAGCAAACATTGTCAACACTTCGTCAGCTGGTACCCACACGTCAGCTCAACACCCACATACCAATCAAATTTTCAAGCGTTTTACGGAGACGCTTTGCACCTTCGCGCTTCCTGCAGCGAACGAAGTTGTTGCATCGGCAGCGCCAGAAAGGTCTGTCAACTCTTTTTTCTTTCACAACTGATGGCAAAGGTCATTTCCGATGGTCTCTTTTTAGTTTCAACGGCACAGCAACATGCATTCTTAATAATTCTACCCAAGACAGTGGTAAGGATATCGCAAAACCAGTGCTATGTTTAAGAAAACTAAACTTGCATACGGTGTACTTGATAACATTGTTACACTATATTTCAACACTTTTTTATTAGAGCCCACTACCGTGAAAATTTTGTTTCTATGCAATGTATGTAATTTGTGCAATGTATTTATTTGTCCAGAGATAACATTTGTAGGAACACGTGTATTAGCAATCATTGTATTTGGATTATTCACGCAAGAGTTCGACTTCGCCTTTGCGAACCCTGCATGCCCTCTAAGGCATCGAGACCTTGACGACAGATAGCAACGATCTCTGCACTTGGACAGGCAGCACGACACCAATGGTCTCAATACTCATTTTTGCAAAAAAATACAATTCCAGTATCCAGCGCGGCAAGTGTTGCGTGTAAGCGCTGCTGACAAGTGGCACCAATGTCCTCCATAAGCGCCGTACTGCAAACAAATGCTTGGACGCACTATAGGTTTAGTGTAGGTTGGGTCGGCATTTGAACCTGGAGGTCGCTTATTTACTTCACTTTTAAAACTCTGCAAATTTGTTCGTCGCACCGACACTCGAAAAGAATGGTTCCAGTGCGTTGGCGAACGACTGCCTGGAAACTCCCGCATTTCTCTACAGCCATTGCGAGTTTTATTGAACTAACGCTTTTCATTGTTTTCCCTTCTTCACTGCATGCCCTAGCAACGAAGCGGGCTTTGGTTGGCTTGTCATTTTCTTTACAGAAGAAGCTTTCCAGATCAACGGTTCTTTCACTTAGGAAGAATAGAACCCAACAAGGGGACACTCAGCAGGAGCGCCAGGGTTACCACGGGCCATGGCTTATTCCCGCCGCACGCGCCTGGGGCTTCGTCCACAGGTCGGGAGCGGCAGAAGCCAAAGGAAG